TTAAGGAGGGTCCAACCAGGTTAGTACTCAGATAGAAGACCTCCAGAAATCCTATAACCATATGCTAAACTCGGAAGTCAGAAAGACATCCCCAGAAGGCATTTCCATGCTGTTGCCAAGATAATTTCACAGTGCATGTAGATCCAAGAAGTTTAATCCAGCTTCAAAAAAAAAGTCTTTATTGTCTATCCAAGAGGTTAAAATGAAGGAAAGAAGATATCCTCAGTTAGGAGTTAAACTTTATAATAGTAGAAACAGTGGTCATTTTTCAAGGAAGTGTAATTTCTATGTGTTGTTTTGATAATACCTATTTGGTATAGTGACTATTCCTGAATGCTTGCTATTGTGGTATGTGTCTCCAAAAGTTTCTATATCTTGCATTATTGAGCATTCAATAGTCGTCATAAATCATATGGTAGAGAAACTTGGGCAGTACTTAGCCAACTAGGCTGACATTGAAAATTTAAGCAAAGTTGGACTTCATTAATACCTGAATGGGAGACCACCAAGATAGCACACTCTTGTTGGCTAGACAGGGAAATGTCATATTAGCTACTGACCAATAGGAGGCACTACACAACCAGTTACATCCCTACTGACTTTTTCTGTAAGCTAAGGCCAAGATGACTGTAAAGCTAAATGCACCACATAGTTAAGCTTGTGGATTCAAGAGTTAAACATTGGGTTGAACATAGAACATCTAGCATGAAGAATATCTACAGTATGTCTAAGAACCACAATAAGGATGAAAGTATGTTCATAGTACTTCCTTCTGTTCAGTAGCTAATATATAACATTTAAAGCAAGATAAGCCCCCTTTAAGGGGAGGCAATCTTGATGTCTTTACATGAGACTCAAACCAATACAAATCTCAAAATTCTCCAGCAGGAAAGCATATTTTAAAAAAGGAAGACATACTTGTAGAACTTCTTTAAGGCAAGGAAAACAAAACACATCTTAGAACAGCGGTTCTCAACCTATGGGTCGCGACCCCATTTGGGGTCAATCGACCATTTTTCAGGGGTCGCCAAAGGCGGCGATCCGCCATTTTCTCCCCTCCGGGGGTGCCGCCGTGCATGCGCATAACGTTTTTGTGTCGGGGGTCACCGTCACACAAACGTTGAGAACCGCTGTCTTAGAAGGAATGTCAAATACATTATTACCAAGTAAATTACACTGCCAAGAATCAAGCTTGATCACAGGAGCCTTTATTTTTTTAGGGTCTGGGCAAGCACATACAACAAACACAACATGCCAGAAGTAACTGCACCCATAACTAAAAATAGGTGGGCTCACTCTCTCCAATTAAAAGCTATAAAGTATGATAAATGCAAAATTCCTGAAAAAATAGATGCTAAGTTTATAGAGACCAAATTAAGATGTGTTTTTTTTTAATGGTTGCATTTGTAATCATGCCCAATACTTAAAACATTCAATAGCTAGTTTATTTTCCATGCATGCTTTTACAGAAGTAAAAAATTTCAATACTTAAAATTTTGTTCCCCAGTCAGAGGTGCATGGCAGCCATAATATAAGCTCACAAAGAAGGGTGTTGAATAAATTCTGTCATTCAAAATGCTGACATTACTGGTGCTTCAGTATTTTTTAAAGCAATGATTTTATTGTTTTTTATCAGTGATTTGTAAGCGTGATGATTTATCAGTTATATTTCTTCTATGTATTTTTTTAGAAGCTTCATAATATTTGTGTCAAAAAATCAATACAGTTTTGCAGTTTTACCAAAAGCATTTCATTCCCTTAAGGCTACCAGATCCAACCTGCAAAAATTCAGACAACCATTGCCACCAAGTGGTTTCCTGGATTTTTTCGGCCCAGATCGTCTACAATTATACTGTATAACTAGCCTAGTCAACATAATTATATTGTTATATTGTTTTATAGTGTGGGAATTAATACAAATGTTTATTTGGACAATACATGATGTTCATGAAAAAAAAAGTCTAAATATCATCCCTTCCTTGTGACTCACAAACACAGAACATCTCAGTGACCACAATTATACACCTTAGGTATCTGGAGTTATTTCAATTAATCTTGGGTACTTGTGATGCTTGGGTGGTTATATGTCAATGATTTTAGTTTGACCTTTTCCTATTTTCCTATTGGTGATGTTGATTTAATATATTTTTTATAATAACACGAACCTTAACAAAAGAGAGTAAGAAAGGCCATATATGCTCCAGAAACAGATTAAGTCTAGGGAAAAAATAACAAAATACATCATAGCAAAAATTCATGGCTGAACTTCCTTACACCCTCTCAGCACAATTCCTTATATTATATTTTCCAAAGCATGCTTTCAACATTGATCTTATAATTGCTTAAAGTCCATTTCTTATACACACATTTTTAATAATATAATACAGAATCAGGTTTACAGTGTTGATTGGAATCAATATTCATACACAAACACTTTCACTGAAAGTACACAGATCATCAATCAATAAAAAACTGATCAGATTTTAACATCCATCTCTCAAATCCAAGCAACAAATAATTCCCCACAAAAGACTAATGGACATGAGAAGAACAACAATCAAAACTTTTACCATTTTATGATTTGGCACATAGCAGGGGAGATCTATATGGTCACTATGATCTGTGATAAAGCATTCTCAGGTATGATGCTGTCAATAACTAATGCCACCACGTCAGCTTTGTCACTTTACTTCATACCAGATAAATTTCTCCAATGAACAATGAAACATATAAAAAGAAACCACACCCTTTTCCAAATTTGCTCATCCTAAGTCACTTGAAGATGTATGGACTTCAACTCCCAGATTTCCCTAGCTAGCATGGGGAACTGAATTCTGGGAGTTGAAGTCCATACCTCTTCAAGTGGCCAAGGTTGAGAAACACTGCTCTATCCTATGCCCAGCACACTACCTTATTCTATATGAAGTCAGATAGTGAATTTGGTGGAATTTAACACACTCTAGAGCAGTGATGGTGAACCTTTTAGAGACCGAGTGCCCAAACTGCAACCCAAAACCCACTTATTTATTGCTGGGTGCCAGGTGGGCGTGGCTCACTGGGGTGTGTGGCTGTGTTGCTCATGGCAGACTGGGTGGTTGTGGCCAAGGTGGGCCTGATCACCTTGATGTTGCTCGTGGGGAGGGACACCTGTGGGGGCCGGGCAAGGTTGGGGGAAATCCATGGGGTCTCTGGCAGGTGGGGCAGTGGGCAGGAGGCTTGTCCTGCAAGGTGAGGCAAGGCGAGGCAGGGCGGGGGAGCCATTGTCGCAGGGCAAGGCGAGGCAGGGGCCGGGGCGGCTGCTGCCTGACACCATCGGCCCCTGCACACAGAGGCCAGCAAGTGCATGGGTGCTGGGATGCATCCAGCCACGCAGACCTCAGTGAGTTAGTTAGTGGCTGGTTGAAGAGGGATGGTTGCCATCTCCGAGGCATAGCACCCGTGCCCACAGAGAGGGCTCTGAGTGCCGCCTCTGGCATGTGTGCCATAGGTTCGCCACCACTGCTCTAGAGGACAACAGTACAAAACAAACCTTAATACCAGTTCAGATCTCCTTCATATACTTTGCTATCTACTGTAAAAATATAGAATGATGCTAAGGGTAACTGATCACTTAAGCTTAACGGTACTTTTAACTGAGAGCAGACCAACATTCAGCTTCACTTTCCACTTTATTCTGGATTACCTCAAGTTCTTGCCATTAATGGGATCAAGAATGCACTAAAGGAATCTAACAAGCCTGCAATAAGACATGGTAGGGTCTAGAACTGGCTAGGCTCCCATTTCAAAATCTTACTGTTGACAATTTTTCATAGTAATTGCTTTTTGTGAAAGAATAATTTTAATTAAGAAAGTCTGTATTCCTAACTTTTTTCTCCAGTAAATTGTTTAACATTTTCTGGACTAATAAGCTTGTGTGTGGCTGTTTTGCAGGACTGCAGGACTCATTTGAACTTGAACATTGTGTCCCAAAGTTCATGGACATATCCATGGCAAAAAACCCTACATAATTTCATTTTACTCATATTTACATGCAATTAACATTAATTATATTTCTAATAACTACTCTCTAGCCATATATTTAGCAATTGTCCCATTTTATCACATAAAAAACTACAATTTGAGAGCAACTTTCTGGGGTGTTATATCCAATTCTTCCATACAGCTTAACTTCAGATTTTATATCAGTGGAGAAATTGTTTACAGATCACTGTGCACATATAGAATTTACCAAGAATATAATTAAAATCCCCTAAGTGTGTAATTCTGGAGAAAAGAGTGTACGTGTTCAGACAAAATAAAAAAACAAAAACAAAATAAGTACATTGCAGTGGTGGGATTCAGCCAGTTCACACCACTTCGGCAGAACCAGTAGCCAATTTTTTGTTGCCCAAGCCCTGAATAGACTTCCGGAAGCGGCATCCACACAGAGAATCGGTTGTTCACATATTTGAACATAACAGCATTTACTTTACTATAAATTCCTATCAATGTTCAACAGAATTGGCTGTCCTGCCAGTTCTGAGTAGCCTTATTTGGCCTTATTATGACTATTTTATTTATAGATGGTCAATAAATATCACACAGAAAATAAGGCTGATAAACACTTTTCTTTCTTATTATATTCAATACTTTCCCACCCATATTTGCACATACATACAAATCCATTCCTTTTCCATTTTATCTTTCTTATCTTTCAAAACAACTCAGATTTATAATTTTGTCAATATTACCTGCCCTCCTGGTTTCTTCTAAAAACCACAGATTAAACCAAGTTGTCACCACCCTAGTCAAACAAGGTCATATGATTTTTTTTAAAACATTTCTGCTTTGATAACCTGTTCTGGCTGTATCTGGAAGAAAATATATAGTTTGTAATAGGCTTTCTGATTCAAGGGAAAATACATTGTTTTAATTGCTTGTGTGCTTCTGTATTCAGATGGCAATATGTTCCTACATTAAATAGCCAGATATTTCTGCATTTAGGCAATGATCATCATTAGTAAAGTAAAATAATCACCTTTATTTGAACAAGGAAAGATGGTAAAAGATCTTCCAGGCCTCAAACAGTGAAAGGTGTATCTAGAGCTACTTGATAATTCTTTGAATGAAAATAAAAGTATTTTATGTCTTTCAAATAGTCAATGAATATTTACAAAGATTTGTAAAAAAACAAACAAAAGTACTTGATGGTCCTATGATACAGGCGCATCCACAGTATGTCTTCCCACACATACCTGTATTTAATATTGATTTAATTTAGTGCTCAGATTTGAGGACAGACGTTTTCTCACCCAATCTCAATAAAGTTGCTTTACTTATAGTTAAGTAATAATTATATAAGTTTATTTATAGTTAAGTTCAAAGTAATGTTTTGAGCATGTCCCATTACGGTGGTTGCATTTCCCATATGGACATTGGCCCAGGAAGGAAAGCTGCCTAGCTGAAAAATGCTCATAGCCCAAGTATTGATGGCCAAGCTCAGAAGACAGATTCCCATTAAATTCATCAGTAGGCCAGTTCTAGCCTGTAAGGAAAGAAAGCAAAGGGAGAAAATGGGTCATTACAGACTTAGAAAACTGAAGCAGGCTTTAGAAGTCATCAAGCCCAACCCACTGCTCAATCTAAGACAGTTAGAGCTCCATGACCTACAGTACTAGTGGCTGTTCAATCTGGTCTGGAGAGAGACTCAATGGCATACCAAATATTTCCTTCTATAGTTGGATATATATATTGCCACTAGGATATTTCCTCTAATATACAGTTGAAATACATCCATCTTAATTTAGAACTCTTAGAACTAATTCAAAATAATCTGTCTATTTGTTTTCATGAATAGCTTCCCATCTCATCTTCCAGAAAATCATCTGTGCAACTGCCTTAAGCATGGGATTTCAGACACTGTTTCCTGATCAAGGAAGCCAAGAATATTTCAGTGCAGAAACTTCATGGTGAGTTAAATTCCAGTAATAGTACAGAAATGTATTTAATGAGTTAATGTGGAAAATGTGCATTTTAGGCAATGATGGGAGAGAGAAGGTGTTTTTTACTGAATATTTTATAATGAGCTGCTAAAAGATTAACATTCAAATAATTACTATACTATTTCCTATTTTAAAACAAGACGATGATAAATTAATATCCTCAGGTCCTGCAAACCTGATCATTAATAAAAAGGGGCAGTTTTGAGTAATGAAACCTCAGTTACATGCTCAAAGCTCAAACTAGATATTTACCAATCCAAGGAATTATTTTCCCAGGATTATCTGTTTAGACCTTACTTGCTAATGTCTCTGCTCTGGCTGGGATACAGCCATACTATATTGCTGGATACATTCCTAATGCTATATATATAAAGCCAGGTTGTTAATATTGTGGTTCATTGCACAGTCATCCAAATGTTCAGACTGGGTTTAGCATTTTTGTCTACCTATCAAGTCCTTTCCAAGGACCTGGGATAGGCAGATTCGATGTTTGGTGGTATTACTGATATTGTCGCAGAATAGAAGCTGTTCTAAGTAAAGCTGCCTTTTACAATTGACTGATGGTGAATTTGTATTATTATCATTATCTTCTTCATCTTCATCATCATATTCATCATCCTCATCGTCATCATATGATGTTGTTACATTAGCCAGGAGATCATAATTCTATTGCAGAGTGGTAGTTTGGCTGCCAATTTACCAGGTCTGTTGTAGGATATGCTTCCCAAGTTATGCCACAGCAGGGCAAGCTGGCTTTGCACCAAAAAGAGATGAGCAACTCTTCCTTCAGGGTAATCCCTCCCTTTGTAAATGGGCACCAAAATCGGGAAGTTCAGAGCTGAAAGGAATCTGAATGCTTTCACATAGCACCAGTTCATCTCCGCACTGAAGTGGTACCTATTTATCTACTTGCATAGAACATGATTTTGAATGGTTAGATGGACAGAAGTTGAGATGGGTGACGAGAACTCACCCCAACACACAGTGCTAGGATTTGAACCGCAGTGGCTCCCAACCTTTTCTATACCCCACACCCCTAAAACGCTTTTGATATATTCTCACACTCCTTATAAAAGTTTGAAATAACAGCAACAACTTATGCATATACACTAGAATTTTGAAAACCCAAGTTTTTGCACCCCCTGGAATATTGTCTTGCACAATATTATGAGAACCCCTGGTTGGGAACCCCTGCACTAGAGCAAAGACCATCTCCAGCATCATTAAGCCACTGAACCCCATGCCTCTAAAAAGCAAGGTGTGTAATAGCTACAAAAGATATGGAGATGATTCATGTTCTTCTTCAAAAGTTCCAGCTGGTGTCTACTGTTATATTCTTACAGCATTTTAGTGAATTTGGATAGCAGTGGACAAAAAGGAAATCTCTGCATAATCATAGAACACAGGAACATCTTGCAGTTTGGGCAGAAGTAAGCAATAGGTTTTGGCCATAGTTTTTCTTTTTTATTATCAATGGCCTCCAAAGATCATAGAAATAATAATGACCTCCATAAATTGTTAGTTGCTTCATAGGTCACGAGTTGGTTTTGGAGTGCTTTGGAATTCCTTTTTTTCAATTTCTTCCTAAAATTGTTGCCTCATCTGCAATCGTGCCAATGGATTACTCTAACTTAACCTCAGACAAATTATGGGGAAATTTGTAAGAAGTGGTTCACATGCAGATATTAGCGTAAGAATATTCATTCCTTTATATTCTTTAACCAGTCCAAAAGAGAAATAATACTTTTATCCAGATGTGCATATTTATTCAGAATCTTTTGGTGAATACATGGTTTTTGAAAGTCCAAGAACTCCATGTCAACAGCTCTGTACTTATGACACACTGGTAATTAAACTAGGAAGCTGACAATGAGGAGGAAGAGAAGAATTGTTAACTATTTTTTTCCCTATGCTCTTTTCACTAGCTGTATTCCACTGCTATAAAGCTATGATGTCTCCCATTAGGTAAAATACACAGCTACCAGGCAGAGTTACATGCCATGTCATATCATACTGTACATGCTTCCTTTGTGGTGCAAATCAAAGCTATTAAAGAAGATTGGGGAAATGACAGAGAAGTTAATCATTGCTTAATTATTGCTAATTAAGTTATTTCTTAAATGTGTATTACAATGTAAACAAAACAAAACAAATGAATTCTAATGTTGGGTGAATAGATTTATCAATTTGACAGAGAAATTACTTTAGAATTTTTTGTTTTTTGCAAATGAGAGAACAATAAATCTGAAATTCTCATAGAAGAAGTATGGCAATTGGATTTAATGGAAAACATCTTTTACATAATGAGCTTTTCCAGTCATTATGGAAGTACTTGAAACTCGGGAACAGTATTTCAAAATTCTTAGAATTCAAAATGAATAGAATTGGAAATATTTCCAACACCCTTAATGTATGATGAATGTCTTGTCTTTCATTTGAAAATAATTTCTCCAGGTGTCTGTAGCCTCCCTAGCTTCCCATGGTTCAGGCAAATTTCAAATAAAGAGCCTGGAAAGGAACTTTTCATTTGTATTTTTTTTCCTCCATAGTGGTATTATCTTGAGAAAGGTAGGGTTTTTTTCTATTCAAAAACAACAACAAAACCATCCATCCATTTTTTCTGCCCACAAATTTGGTGGAAAATTCAAAATACTATCTCTATGCAATTTTAATTTAAACATATCCCCTATCACTAGCTTGAAATCTCTATCTGGCACACCTACCTGTACCCATTTTCTACTGATTTTTTTTAATCTTTCACTGTAAACTAATTTTGAGTTTCATATGATAAATGATCTATAAATGAAATGGTAACTACGGTAACACGTGGTACTGCAAACTAACTGGGCCTATGGGGCCAAAATATCCATCTTCCTCTATTTTTGGTAATTATGCTACAGTGGTAATTACCTTATAAAGCAACTTACCATGTCTTTCACCATCAAATGCCCAGAAGCAAAAGCAATGGAATTTGGGGGTGTAGAGACTGGAAGCATGAAGGCAAAAGAGCATCCTACAGTTCCTGGTATCATTAAATAGAGAGGATTCACCTTCAAACGAATGGCCTTTGAAAAGCAGAAATTAGAAAAATGGGACTTTAAATGAAAATTTATTAATGAATTACATATCTCTGATGAAGGATTGAAGATATATTTCTCCATCTCTATTATGTGGTTGCCAGTTTGCTTCTGGATCCAATTCAAGATATTATTATCTATAATGCCCTTGGTGGCATGGGTCTAGATTAGCTGAGGAACCATCTCAGTACAACGCAATTGGCCCACCTCACTTGCACCAGTAATAAGGGCATGCTGTGGACCCCGTTGGCCAAGGAATTTCAGCTGGGGGGGGGGGTGATCAGGAGAGGAACTTTCTCTGCCACAACACTAACCGGTGGAGCATCATATTTTTCCGATATAAGATTTGCTCCAACCCTTTTGACATTCCATAAAGGCCTAAAAATCTATCATCCTGTAACTGGTTTTTGGATTAGAAGATCTCATTTCCATTCTGTTGTATATCCCCTGCCATCTTGGCTATTTCTTTGTTAATTTTAATGTATTTATTATCTTACTGTTTTAATCTTTTATAATACTGTTTTATTGTAAGCCACCCAGATTTGCAGGAACAAGATAAGCAGCAAATAAATTTAATAAATGAATAATATCTAGCATTTTGTACATGCTTTCACTAGATAATTCCATATGAACCTACTTGACAGAATAATTCAAGGAAAGCATCATGTTCATGGGATCTCTAAATAAGATCATGTTATTGACACTGCATCAAGAAAAGGAATTCCCTTTCTGAAGTCTCTTCAGATTCAGTGGAGTCCCAATGTGAGATCTACACAAATTCAAAGTTTGGTTCCAAGTCCTATGAAAAGGTTTCTACAGATGTGATTATCATAAAAAGGTTGCCACGTACAAGGATATAATGCAACCCAGAAGAAAAAATGAAAGTAAGGGCAGCTATTGCTGGCTACTGCCTGGGCCAAGATCTCCTCACTGATAAGAGAAAAGAGAGCTAATGCTGCAAGCTGTTCAAAAGATACATATGAGTTTTTTACCAGTTCTGCCAAGACAGGCAAGAAGATGATGATTGTAGCTGTATTACTGGCAAATTCTGTGAACATTGCTATGACTGCTGTGATGAGAATTACAGCCACAGGAGGAGGGAGATTCTCTAGAGGGTCAAGACGACCTCCAATCCAGACAGACAAACCTGATTCCTATAGCAAGAAAAGAAATTCCCCAAAGTTATGTAAGAGAATCAATAATAGTTAAACCCCTAAAAATCTCCTTCAGTTCTTATCATGCAACGACAGCATTTGGGACAGATCATTTAACTGACAATTGACATGAGTCCCTGGAGGACTCCAGCCAGGGAAGACCAAAGAGATGAATAAAGGCAGCCATTTTACCCTTCACATTTACTGCCTCATATATTGTTGGTGTGACAAATACCTCTTTATACTATTAGGATAATAAAGACATCCAAGCTTCTTGGGACCAGATAATTAATTGTAAAAGATGTAGAACATTTGTGTTTTGAATTATTACCAACATCTGTGATTATTTTCAATTAAGCAGTCACGGTAGTTCTTTTTCCCCTTCAGGTTCATATGATGAATTTTCTATGATCTATTTATTTTGCATTTCAGCTAACGATGACTCCTAGCAGTTATATGAACAAGTCTCTGTCTAGTTGTTTGCCACTAACTTCTTCCTAGGGCTGGAAAAAGGTGAGTGGCCAAAGTCATCCAGCTGGTTTCTGGACTTAAGGCAGGACTAGAACTCAAATTTTCCTACTTCTAGCCAAGTATCTTAATCACTAAACCAAACTGATTTTTAGTTAGAATAGAATTAGATAGAATAGAATAGAGCTGGAAGGGATCTTGGAGGTCTTCTAGTCCAGCCCCCTGCTCGAGCAGGAGAACCTATACCATTTCAGACAAGTGACTGTCTAGTCTCTTCTTAAAAACCTCCAGTGATGGAGCACCCACGATTTCTGAAGGCAAGCTGTTTCACTGGTTAATCGTCCTCACTGTTAGGAAGTTTCTCCTTAATTCCAAGTTGCTTCTCTTTTTGGTCAGTTTCTAACCATTGTTTCTTGTCCTGCCCTCTGGTGCTTTGGAGAATAGTTTGACCCCCTCTTCTTTGAGGCAGCACCTCAAATACTGGAATACTGCTATCATGTCACCCCTGTTTCTTCTTTTCTTTAGACTAGCCAAACCCAAGTCCTGCAGCCGTTCTTCATATGTTTTAGTCTCCAGGCTAGTTAAACAAACTGTATTATGCTGCACATATCACTTGGTTGAGTTGCACAGCTATAGAAATTGAATAAACAAACAAATAAACAAATAAAGTGTCCAGTTTCATACATACAGCTAAATCCATAAATGGAAGGAATGAACAGATTCACACTAAGCCAACACTATCAAATGACATTGAATTTAGTATAATGTGTGAACCAGGCCACGGTATGTGCATGTAGCATAATATAATATAAAGTCATATATCACAATAGTGCCTATAGAAAATCAGACACACAGACACAATGTTTCACAGGCTGCACTTTAACAGACGTACCTCACATCCTTTTGCCATTGCAAATCCTCCTCCAAGCAACAGGATTATATTCCAAGGCACACTTTCTTGGGCTTTGCTCCAAGTTAGCAAAGGTTTATTCTCAACATTTGATGCTAGATGAAAAGGTTTGTAATGAAGAAGGACAGAAATTAGTAATATAGTCTATGGCAGCCTTCCCAACCTAGAGCCTCCAGATATGGGATTATCCAGATGTTTTGGGAGTACAAGTCCAGCATCCTTAACTAGTCAGCACAGGAATAAAAATGGTTAGAAATGATGGAAGTTACAGTCCCAACATAGCCCCCCCCCCTTTTTTTTTTTTGCATTGAGGTACCTTAAATCTGCTAACTTAAAACAATGCATACAAAATCCAGGGCCCATTATTTCCTTGCAATTGAAATTTCAAGGATCTTCACACCAATTGTATTCACAATGTTGTAGTCACTGCAGCATTGTTGCAGTTAGCCACAGTCAGTGATTGAGATTTCTGACACTCCATGCTAACTTCCCACAAGCAAAGACAATGAGGAGGCCAGCAGAAAGTTAGAAGTTGCTCCCGCCGCTACTGCTTTTTTTGCCTGTCCATGATCCTATGGTTTCTCTGTTTAGATAAAGAAATATCTCTGAAAGGATGACCCAGGGGGTCATGGGTAGTCTAGTGTAGCCTTAAACTGGTATCCTTTCTATGTATTTGCATAATAAAGTTATTACAAATTGATTTTCTTTTGTATATATCTAGAACAGTGGTTCGATCTGCAATGTTGTCACAGGGGGTCCGCAAAGGCTTGAAGAAATGCTATGATTTAAATCTTGAGTTAAGTCTTTGGGCCGCATGGCCATGGTCTGTGGCCACAACAGGTATTTAAAGGGGGTTCATGGTGAAGAAAAGGTTGAGAACCACTGGTCTAGAGGATCAAATATATCAAATATAAGAAATAAATCAAACAGAATCATCAATTCTGGAAACTGTAATCTCAATGTAGTAGAGGGCACCAGGTTGGAATAGGCTACCCAAAATAATAGCTTAACATGTGAAGGAGCCTAGATAAAGCTAAGCTGACATCTTTTGCCCTTCTCCAAATTCAAGGCAACCATAATACATGCAGCTGTTTTTGCATCTTTTGCCAAGCCTCAAGCTTTCAAATAAACTAGTTAATATTAACTATGATTTCCTAGTTCAGGCAACATGATAAGCAGTGCTTAAGCAAATATAAGAGCAAATCCTCTAGAATCCTTATGGCTATGCTGGGGGGGGGGTCATAGGAGCTGAGTTCATGATGCTAAATTATGAATTATTTTCCTGTTTAATGGCTATCTCTTATGTCATAAACCAACTTCCATTAAAGAAATCCATTTATGAAATTTTATGCATGTGAATCAAAATTTCACAGACCAATGAACCAGGAATTGATTTTATACAAATACATGGGAAGACAAGGCTTTTCGGTATAATATAAATGGTAATGTAAATACCAGCATTTCAGATTTACAGAAACACTGAAAAGAAATACGTTGATTGGGCCTAAAAAGTCCCAGAAGTGAAAGAAAATAAAAACATGTCATTTAATTCATTTTGTAAGCAACCATATTGTTGCATTCCAAATATGATAGGTTATGATTTCCATAATCAGCACCCATTCAATCAACCTATTCAATCATTGGCCATTTTGGCTAGAAACAAGGAGCAATAATGCAGTGTCTGGAGGATACCAGATAGATAAACCTGACTCATATCACTATGATGTATAAGAGCATTTATTATTGAAACATCTTCAGATTATGAAAAATGTGGATCAGAAAATCTACCACATTGCAATTTCTGGTCAAACAAAGGATAAATGCATACATAAAGTGATAAATAAACTTCTTCCAGTAAATGTGATTCAACACTTGCTGTAAAGAAAAAATGGAAAAATCTAACGAATTCAATCTGTAACCTTATCCCTTTAGTCAAGTAATATATATTTTAGGATGTAGTGTGCAGATATATTGTAACTTCAATATTTATCTAATGACCTTTGTCTATACAAATATCAGAGCAGAAATATTGATTATGTATGGGCAACATTTTTACATTTGTCTTTGAAATCACTTTTGTGGCTTTTGCTTTTATCATGTGCTTATTATTTATTTGCTATTTGAGGTTTTGGACTTGATTTTTGTTTATTTCAAATAAAAAAAATTAAAAATCTAATGCAACAGTGGGCATTTAAAAAAATAGTTTACACTTTGGATCTAGAGGGTTAATTTTTCACTCACAGTTCAAACATAACACTTATGGCAACAAATAATCCAAATCTTATCAGAAAAGGTTTATAAATGGAGTTTTGCAAAACAAGGCATCCTGATACCTAAGAGGATTCTTATTACTAGAGTAAGCTCATTTGTGTATTTATGTATTTATCCAAATTATATCCACCTCACAAAACAATTGAAATAGCTGTTTTCTGTCATTACTACAGTTCTCAAATGATATCCTTATACTGAGGACAAAGTTACCCAAGTAAAATAATTTTCTGCAACACTATCTCTATATTACTTATCCAAATGTCTATAAATTAGTCAATGTTTATATACATCACTAGAACAGGTGCTATTAGAATGAAAGGCATGGGAAGGCAAACAATTATATTTGGGGAACTAGAGTGAGGATCTTCAATAGTCATTGCTTCCAATGCCCTCCACAATCTGTGCTGAAGAGAACAGAGAACATGGTGGTTTGTGGTTTGTACAGAGAAGTTGGCACCTGACAGAACACATTACCAATGAACTCATTGTCATTGGTGGTCACCCCTTTCATTGTCCTTCCCTCCTCAAGGTTCTTCAGAACATGCTTGAGTATGTATAACATCTGCCTACAACTCTTTAAGCCCAATGAGGTTTTTCCCCCCTGGGATCACATAATACAGACATGTCAAACTCGCAATGTCACGTGACGTTGCGTGACATATTGGGACTTTTCCCCCAATAGGGTGGGTGCGGTTTCGAGTTGACGCATCCAGCCCATGGGCCAGCAGTTTGACATGCTTGTCATAATATAAAGCAGCCACATTATCCTGGGGGAAGATACAGTTGTTTTCAAAGGTGCTAACAGGTGCTATGTGAAAGCCTCTGTGTACTCCAAGGCACTTATATCTTTTCAATCCAATGTGAGACACAGTTCTAATATCAGTAAATGTTTTCCCTTGTCCCTGTTTGCCTAGTTGAATATTTTTAGTCTTCCATAGGATAAATGTGTTAAAAATTAGAAGCCTATCAATCGATGTTTTCTATGGGCTGTGGAAACCAGTGTTACAACACAATCTAGAGAGAACTCAAAAATATGAGACCTGAAAGCAAACTTTGGTAAACCAGCAATGTACCTTTTAGATCAAACCACCATTTAAGAGATGGCTTTTTCGCTGGGAAGAAGAATAATATTGTCACTATTGTGATTCCAGTAACTGCATCTGAGACAAACCTAACAGAAATAGAAAGAAGATTCTATGTAAGCAAATCATATTTTGTCAAAGAATAAGTTTTTACGTCAGGTTTAATGAACATTTACAGTTTATAATTATTCTTTTTTTAAAAAAACCCTACAAATTATTGCCATAAATTAGAAAATAATTTGGAACCTAAAATTAAAAATTAGAGAAAGCATGAGAAGAATCCTTTATTTTTTTTAATCAAGACTAGTCTTTAATCATTGAGTAATTATTGAGACAAATTATTGAGTACAATAATTGAAATAATCATATTCTAAAATGAAGAGGCTACGGTATTTCACCATGTACAGCACAAAGAATTTCAGAATCAGATACTGTATATCCAGTAGGGGACCCAATGAAGATGCCTTGTTAAAGACCTGGAAGAGTAGGATGACTGTACAGTAATAGGGGATCTTGAAAGTAATGTGGATGTAGGACATTGAAACCCCCCAGCTTTTGAACTGGATTCAAAAAGCAAGTGCAGCAATGCAGCTGTTTCAACACAGGGTTGAAGTGGAAATTAGGCTTAGCCTATATTTTAAAACAGCAATATAAAAAAATTACAGGTGAACATCCAAATCCCTGTCCATTGCATGATGAAAATTCAAATACCCTCCTGGCAAATATTAAGTGTGGTCCTTAGCGTTTTCTCAGTCTTTGCTCTGGAGCCTTAAATAAAAGTCCTTCAATTTCTAGACAGCAAGTTTGCTTTTAATTGGATATATCAGGTGTTTAATTTCCATGTAAAGTATTATCCTACAATACAGCCATTATCTAAGAGGAAATAAAAAAGAAAAACCTATGACTCTTTCCTCTGATACATGAAATATGACAGTTCTCACTATGGTATAAGAAGAAGATCTGGGAATTTCAACTAAGACATGATCAAAATTTGGCATCACATAATTTCTTAGATACAGGAAAAAGATTTAAAATGCAATACATGCTGCTTTTGAAGAAAATTGAAAAGTCAGTGGATTATACAATTCAGCCCCAACAAAGTTCATAAAGAGTGTTATCAGAGAAAAAGAGTATAAGTTTTCTTTGTATTGTTGTAAATTGGAAGCATGGTCTCACTTTTCAAATAACCATACAGCTGCATTAACCTGATAGATATTTTACAGCAAAATTGTTGTTATTGTTAAAGTCAAACTAGAATGACTTTTTCAAAAAATATGTGAACATTTGGTTAAATTTTCCATTCAATAAAGGACAGCATTACTAAATCTCCTATTTACCTGAATGAGTTCAAATAAACTAAAAGTAAAAGCTTACCCTGGTTTAAATAAGCTTGCCCAACCTGTGATGAATTTTGGATCTCTGGAGAACAGCAGGATGGCAAATAAACAGAAGAGAACGAATACTGCCTGCTCTGCAAACCTGTTTTGGAATAAAATTAAGCACTGCTTTAAATATTTGCCTGAAGTTTAAGTTCAGCTAGAAATAGCAGATGGTAAGAAACATGAAGAGGAACAAATGATTTAAGGTGTTTTGCATGTGAAAGTCAATAAAATGCAGTAAAATCTATGAAATGAATATAACTCCAAATGTTATTCATATGTTATGTAACGTATAGTTATGTTATATAATGAGAGTCAGTTTGATTTATTGGATTAGGCATGAGTGAATCTGAGTTCTTTTGTTGCTTTAAACATGAAGCCAATTGGGTGATTTTGGCCAGACACTTTGTCATAGTTGTAAGGAGAAGGCAGCAAAAAATCACTTCTGAAAATGCTGCCAAGAAACCTCCAGCAATTTCTCTATTCAATTGCCAAGAGCCACTACACCTTCTTATTTGAAACTTGGTTGTACATAAACATGGATATAAGCTACCTTCAGGCATTCAAATTATGTGCTAACAGTACAAACAAACATGAATTTTCCTTACATACACTTTTATTCCATTTGAGGAAGTAATGTCTGAAATGGCTAGTGTATATCTGAAAGGTCTTGGGTAGGCAGCAGCAGCAGCTGACCTGGCCTGATTATGGAAACCTAAGCAGAGCCAAACCTGGGTAGTATTTAAATGAGTGACCACTGAGAAATACTGTATATAACTATCTAGATAAGATGAGGAAGTCAAAACAATTCCAGAAGAAGGCATCAGCAATCCATTTCCATACTATTGCCAAGACACATGAATGGATATCTCTGGAAAGCTCAACTGAAAGGAGTCTTGCCTATATTTATATCTGAAATAAGTTTGTCATTATGTTCCATACCTTGGTTATATTCACATTAAATGATTGACATGTGTTATGAATGTGACTGCCCTTGAAGATAGTAAGAAATTATAGTATATATGGAATACAATGCCAATATCCTTGTGGCAATGAAGATAATCTACTGATTACTTTGGCTGCTTACTGTTTCCATGCACAATTCAAAATGATGTTTTTGAGCTTTAAAAATGTCAGTGTATGACCCTGCCCATATTTTAAGAATGGGTTGGAAAACTTATTCTCTGTCTAGACAGTGAGAACTGATAAATTGGCAGGTACAGATAAATTTGATGCATTAAATCATCTTGGTGCAGTGGTGGGATTCAACGGTAACTAATTTTTTTTTTGCCCAGGCCCAGAATGGACTTCCGGAAGCGGCATCCACACAGAGAACCAGTTGTTCACATATTTGAATCCCACCACTATCATTAATAGCTGATGATAGTACTCTGAAAGGTGAACTTTAGTTTTCAATAAATAAATTTTGTGTACGTGGAGAGTATGTTTGTTTCAAGATTCATACAGGAGTGTAGCATATAATGGTCAGAGTCAGAAATAGAAGTTATTTTGTTCCATATGTGCATTGTTTTCCAGGAATGCGAAAACAATTTAAATTTAATTTGGTTATATGAAATATAACACTGTGTACTAAAAGTCTAATTTAATAATCAGTTAAAATCTCAGTTGCTGGATGTTGAGAAGGGGCAGAATAGAAAGCTATTTCATAACTGAGTATTTAAAAGGAGATTCATTACTAAAAAACCATAGCATCAAAAAACACTCTAAAGGCAACCAAAGCATCAAAAGCAAATAAATAAATAAAAGCAGAAAACCATCAATAGATTTAAAGAAAGAAACAAGAAACAGAAGCCATTTCAAAGAAATCTGGAATTGCTAATCAAATTGGCAGGGGCTGATTTAATGGAGTTTTTATATTCTTAAAACAATAAAAGGCCTTTGATTTTTTCGGTGACACTTTGCAGGTTCCTGATGTATAATCACTTGAATGGTGGAGTGGGAAACTAATTTCTTGCATAACCATCCCTTAATGATGAAATCTTATAAGCAGCTTTTTGGGCAATCTGTCCTATCTTATTTTTGCAGTATCTATGCAATAGCTATATGCAGATTTTAAACATCAGGTTTATAAAGGTAAAAGTATAACACAAAAACAACAAAAATTTGAGGGAAGTGAATAATTAAAAAGGTTGTCTGGCTTTTTCTGAAAATGTCCCTTTTATTGTTCTATCTGAGAATGCATAAATATAGATACAGTACACAACTACTGAAGCTGCACGACTTAACTACCTTATTAAAGAAAAAAAGTGAAAGTAATGATCTCCATTAATAATTTATAGAACAGCCCTCTAATTATGTGGGCTGAAGTTTTTCAGCTTTTGTGATTGTTATATAAATGATAATTCATGAAGGACATCATTTATTACTTTAGGATTGTTCTTGAGTGCACTGAGCTACAAATTTTCAAAACTCAGTGGACTAGCTAATTAAAGAATTAGTTCACTCTTTACTTAAATAATTTAGTAGAGATAATTAAACACAACAATAGCTACAATATTTCAAACTGATTCTGTCATTTGAAATCTGCTCTCGAAGCATGGCTCCAACTGAGCAGTCTTAATCAATGAAAAGAAGACATGAAAACAGAAACAGAAAAGCCATAGGAGAATGTGTATTTCATGGACATTCTTATTACTACAGTGATTTTTCTTGTAAAAGGGTTAAGTGCAGCAGATGATATATATGCAAATCTGAAATTTATGAAAAATCCCCATTATTAGATGACAATACTGACATTGGATTAAATTAATTCTAGAGTCCTTAATTCTGACCAATCATAAACAAAGACATTTAAACACATATTGCACATAAAAAAATACACAGGGCTTCCACTGCATCATCTCAACCATTATCATAACTTTTTTAACCTACAGATACCTATGATGTTAAATGCGACTGAACAGAAATGTTACCATTCTAATGCATCTATTTGATCTCTCACGTCCTTTCCAAATAATTTCATCTTCTTGTTTGTGATGTTTCTTATTCCCATTGTGACTTACTTTATTGGTCCCAGTTTCTCATAGTCTTCCTTTATAACTGCCCGAGCTCGGCCTTCTGCATCAGCTCTTATCTCCGATTTCTTCTTTCTGCAGACTCTGATAACAGGAAAGGGGGAAAAAGTTGCTCAGTTTAAGTTGTGCAACCAATATTTCTCCAGATCATCCACAATACTTATTGTAAGATCCTGGCTTGTAGAAAAGAATTTACACTGCTCTTGATGAATATGATTCTGTTTTCTGTTTTTTGTGATTTTAAAGTTTTGGTTGGTTTTTTTTTAACATTTTTAAAAATTTGTTTTAACTTTAGAGAAAATAGGTTATATGTCTAAGAGATACCTCTGAATGATGATTTTGTCATGCTATGAGAATACACTATTTACATATAATGTACTAACTATATTCAGCATCATTGGGGCATTTTAAAAAATATATTATCACTATTTCAGCAGCCAAATGACTTTTTAAAAGGTTCAATTTAATACCTATAAAGTCCTGTTTCTGAGACAGAATTCTAAAGGAAGTGCCATAATGAAGAAGATGCCAGGTTTAGACCAATCTGCCTGGAAATTGGTACGTGTTGACAATGTTCATTTTTGACAAATGCCAATTATAAAACTGGAAAGAATTAAAATAATGTTTATAATATGGGTGAAAATTGTTGAGAATTTCCACAAAATGTGGCAAACATTGTTCTTTAAAACAATGTGAAATAGAATTTAAGCAGCTATGAGAACTGAGAACTATTCAGAGAACACTGTAAGAAACTCAAGGTTTTTTTTATTTTTAGTTAGTAAAATAACTGAACAACTTTATTTTCTCCTATCAGTAAGCCCAAAAAATATTCTATATGCAAAGAAAAAATAAAGAATCAGCCTCCCTAGCTGTAAAAACGATGTCCTTGTAACTATAAAAACTACATTCACAAATCTCCAATCTTCTGCAGCCATGCATTATCTCTGTGCATTATTTTGGATTAGTAGATTTTTCATTTCATCATAAAGTTGCTCCATTTCAAAGGGATTTCTCACAGTTTCCAGCTAGTCTAGTTATGTAAATTAGTGCTCACTTAGAAAAAAAAATACAAGGAATTTTGTGGACACCAAATATGTTCTTGCTTATTAGTCAGACTAAGACCCTTTAAATGAATAGGACTTGGCTCATATGTGATTTGACCCATCTTGTTTTTCCACATATCTCTGCAAAATACTATCAATAGTATGCATAAAAATACATTCCATTTCTAGTCATATCTGGTTATATCCATATCACAATGTTAAATGTGTTGCTGGATTTCTGTTAACACTAAAAAGTCTTGATCCATTTTATCAAATAAGAAGTTTATACTGGGAAGCTATCAAATGTATAACTAAGGGTTTTGAAGAAAAAGATCTTTGTTTTTGTTTCCATTTTTTAAAGCAAAACTGGCAGCTATTTGTTTTCTTACAATGGAGCAGGGGAAAAATATTTGCAATCAACCATTCAATCAATCAATATGAATAAGTAGTCTGACAAGTGCTTAGGTTTAAAAGGTAATAGCTATGAACTAGTTCAGACATCTTATCCTGTGCTATGGGCAGATTACTATTATAATGATTATCTTTAAAGTTTACAAAATCCTTTTTTGAAATGTCCCTGAATTCCTTAGCAATGCTTTCAATTTGAAAGAAAATGAAAAAGGAATCAGTGGAGATGAGAAGAGGACTTGTTGTAAGTATCCAGATTACAAAAGGTTTACAATAAAACAGTTACCAATTAACAAATTGCGTAATGAAATCACTGAAGTTTAATCCTTGTCAGATGTAACATGCCCTGGTCCAAATTTCCAGGGAGATACTTTAACTCTAATTCTGCAAAACCACTGAAGCTTGAAAGAAAGAAAAACCCACAAGCTTTTTACTTTCATAAAATGTGAATTTCTAGTGTCATCACAGAACATTTAAAGAAAATCAATAACTACAAAAACAGAACATTTCTTCTAGTTACTGAATATTCAACTTTTTTAAAAAAAATACTAGTCTTTGAACCCTATACTCATTACAGCAAATTAGTGAAACTCCCTGCAGCTCTCAACAAAACTGTGGCAACATCGGTTACAGAATTTTTATCATGAGGGAAGAATAAGCGTAGAAAGAACTGAGAACTCTTCCGGGCTTAGCAAACAATAGGCTAGAAGAGAAATATCTCCACAACTTCCATTTCTCGGTTGAAATATCTTGCTATGTATCTTTTGTGTAAAGTGGAAATTTTCAATTTTAAAAGTCAGCATGTTTAGGAACAAAGGAAACAAGCCCCCAAAATTATTTTTTTTTAATGAAGGACATCACAGAAAACTATATCAATGAATATACATTCATGTATATATCAATGAAATATACATTCAAATTAAAAGTGTCCCCTATTCCAGCTTTTGAATGAACACCAAGTTAAATTAATTATTTCAACTGCAAATGAAAACAAATTCAAATTATGCATATAACTCTGATGTAACACTACCTTAAGTTAATGCATCCATAAAGGAAGCATATCCAGAGCCATCCAAGGAAAAGGAAAAGTACCATTAAGGGAAAGGCAAACACAAACCAAGAGCCAAAGTTCACAACATCACATCCTGGAAAATAACTTTGAGAAAGAAAAAGACCAATTAATATAAAGTGGACAAATTATCTTTGAGTACATTTCAAATATGAAATAGATACCAATACAATATGTCTTACAACCTTCCAAAACCAATTTATAAAATGGAATTAATAAAAGATCAGCCAGGATTGTCTGAATTTTTTCCACATTCTCTAGGAAAATCCTACTCAATAATCCTAACTCTGTAATTCCTGACACACACAGAGACTGACTTCATAGATTGCATTAATCTATGTTGCACTTAATAAACATTTTTAAACAGGTCATAATAAGTTGCTTCACCTATTTAGGGCCACAAAATATGGTGGCTGGATTCACATAATATAATACACCAATATCAAAAAGTCACATTATGGCTAAGTGCCTTGTGTGAACCTAGCCAGTATCTGAACATTTCCTATTATTGTTGCCAGTGTTGTTAGTTTTCTACAAATACCAGATGCCCAATTCTGACAAAAACTGTACCTCTTTAACTGTCCTGAAAGAATGAGGTTTGGGGCTGTCCCAGTCAGTGTTGCTGTTCCACCAATACTAGCAGCATAAGGAATGGAAATCAGAAATGCTTTCCATATATTTGTCTTGTCATGTTCTTCCTTCGTTATATCCAAGGAAATGTCAACTGTGACTTCCTTCTCTTCAGTCATATCTTTCCTTCAAAACATTCCAAATAAAAATATAACAAATGAAATATGTTTTTGCTTGTAAGTCTATTGTTAACTTCAGAGAGGGAAATTTGGGGCAATTTATATATTTTGTACAGAATATTATATATATTCTATACATAGTAGGATTAATTCTTCTGCAGAGGGGTGAGACTTCTGTGGGTTCAGGTTGGATTAAGTTGAAGCAGCAATAGGCATCACTAGTGACATCCAGTCTTTTAATTAATTTTAATCTTTTTTATTTAGGTTTGTGATTATCTTTAAATGTATGAAAAGTAAAAATAGTATCACTCTACATTTAATACAAAGATGGGAATGCCATTGCTGAGCATGGCACATGCTCAATATTTTTGGAAGAATGACATTATAATGTAAAGTGGTTGAAGCTATTTTATATGAACAAGAAGACTTAGACTAGGTTTTTTTCCCCATTTTTCCCATCCCTGCTTTCAAAGTATGTAGAAGATGAAATTTCAGTAGCCACAACTTTTTTATCTCCTGCATGACAAGTCCTTTGTTTTTTTATTTTTTATGTGAGTATGAAAAATTCTGGATGTTTGTTCCCTTTAAAGACAAAAGGAGTAAAGTTAATTTGATGGGCCATAAACCTGGTATTAGAACATGCACTTAACTTGCAGAGGGCTCAAGGTTCAATTTTCAACACTTACTGTTAAAGAAATAAAAGACCTCTTGCCTAAAAGCCAGGAATGTTTGCCAGAAGGAAGGATGAGAAGACACTACCTCATATACAATAGGCGTATTCATAGTTGAATCATAGATGAATATAGACTAGGTCCATTTGTCCAATACAATCAACACTGATTTGCAGAAGCTTCTTAGATTTTTAGGGAGAGATCTTTTCCAACTCAATCTGGAGATGCCCAATATCCTTATTACAGCCTTACTGAACAATGCCTTTGTTGGATTTTGTGTAAAAACCACTATTTAACGATTTAACAATACATGTGTGAACCTGCTTTCCTTTCCATTTTCTTATGCTGGAAAGCAAAAAAGTAAATTTTGCTTTCATTTCCAATTAATTACAGTCTTGTTGATTATATCAACTGTACAACTGTATCAACTACTGTATAAATAGTTCAGAGGTCCCCAACCTTTTGGGCACCAGGGATCGGTTACGTGAAGAGAGATTTTTCCACGGACCGAAGGAGGGCGTGGTTTTGTGTGCTGCCTGCATCCTATGGATGGGGTTTTCCTTTTTTGTGTGGACCGGTTGCTGGCATGCCACGGCCCAGTACTGGTCCACGGACCAGGGGTTGGGGACCCTTGCCGTAGTTGATTTGAACTGAAATTTAATCAAGGTAACACAATCTTTTCAGCTTTGGAGGCCACTATAGTGGCCACAGAGTTATCAACACTGCATTGCAGTGTCTTCACCTTACCAACAAAATGCTTCCTCCCCAATGCAGAAGCATTTTATTCCAATCAGGCAAATAAATGATGGAAGAACTGTGCTGTGCTGTGCTGTGCTGTGCTGTGCTGTGCTGTGCTGTGCTGTGCTGTGCTGTGATCCTATTCCAGCATTACAATTACACTTGGTATCATGATATAAGCAGATGATTGATAGGAAAAAGCATAGTACCATTACAGCAGCCTTCCTTTCTATTGACTGAATTCATAGGAAACCCATATGGAGAAAAGAGAGATCTCTTTAGCAGCATAACAAACCAGTGGGATAATGGGAACATGAGTACAGGGAGACACTAAACTGCATCTATTTTTTAGAAAACTAAAAGATTCCCCAGGCACTGATTTAGCAAGCCAGGAGTACAACCATATTTTAATCCTGATTTGTATTAAATACTAAAACTAATCATAATTAGTCTTGGTTAGAAAGACATCCCGATAAACAGCAGCTTCTTAAAAATGGAAGCAGGTGATTTTCTCCTTGGAACCATATCCACAGAAAATGGAAGAAAGCATACACAAACCCCAAATTCAAAATTTCTCAAAACAGATCATCCAGTTATATGGAACAATGCCCAGAATTCTGGTGTTCTTGAAAATTGTGAGAACTGTGATCTGCAAGTAGTATCTGGAAATGCTACTAATGAGGATGGGTATGCTATAAACTGCAATAAAGTAGATTTATTGCACAGAATTACAAAAACATATATAGAAAGATATTCTTCATATAGCACCTTAGAATCCTACCTTTTCTATAAATTCATCCCCAGATCCAAATCCTAGGCATCTTCTTACCATCGTTTTGCATTAAAATCTGTTTGTTTCTCAATTGTGAAGGTTCCTGCCATCTATCCCTTGTTTATAAAATGTCTTACCCCAGTAATTCCCATCTCAGTTCTCCAACTTTTACAAAATATAGCAAGATATTTCTATAAAAACAGGAATATATGCCATGGAGATTACTGCCAAACAAGCAGTTTCATATTTCATACAGATAGTGTCTCCCTTTTCAATAGCAACTTACTCATTAATATTTGTTAGAAGCTGCATCTCAGTTGGCACCATGTGAAGTTTATTCTGATGTACTGAAGCTAAAAAAAATAAATATTTCAAAAGAGTTTTTTAAAAAAAACAGAAAAATGTTTTTGAAGTATATTTATATTATTATCATATTTATTAAATTTGTATACAGTATATGTGAATCGCATTTACTCCTCCTTATCAAAAGTGGGTGTTCTTTGATGTCTGTTTTTCAAAAAAATGGACAAAATGCATATTCACTTCTGGATATTCATAAAATTCATCTCACTGAAATAAATGTTAATATTCACCATAATTATTTTTTTAAATGCAATAAATAGATTAACCTGGCCCTAAGAAAATGTGCTGTTCTGATCTCACTAGACTTGTTACAGCCTCCCCCCCACACAAACAAATTTCACTACAAAACCATATTGCTTATACTAGAAACAAAATACAGCCATCCTGAATTAGTAGTCTCATACCTTAGTGCTCCATGAATATATGTAATCATCTCTTAAAGCCATATACATTTTAATCAATCTCTATCATTTGTAGAAGCAGAGTTGCTAGTCTCATTGTGCTGCATGGAATATTACTGTTTGATTTTTTGAGGCTGTAAGACAGGGGTCGCCAACCCCTGGTCCATAGACTGGCACCGGGCTGCTGCATGCCAGAAACCGGGCCGCACAAACAAGCAAAGCCCCACCTGTGGGATGCAGCCAGTACATGAAACCACGCCCCCTCTGGTCCGCAGAAAAATCTCTCTCCACAGAACTGGTCCCTGGTGCTCAAAAGGTTGTGGACCTCTGCTCTAAGATCAATTTAAAAGTTTGCTAGGTACTACCTGGCATCATAAGATGGTTCACTAATCATAGTGGCTCAGAATATGATTTGGTTGCTTTTTGCTTTAAGGTATTGTACCACCAAGCTCAGAGAGCACTAAGGATCCCAATAATATTACAGTAATGTTTGTTTTGGCTTTTAAAAAAAGAACAATAAATGTACTTGCAGTTTCATATCTACTATAGCATACAAATTCTCTGGAACTTTTTACCTCTGATGGCACCATATTCATTTTATTAGAATTTTTCAAGATTCATCATTTACAAAAATCATCTGTAACTTTGAAGCCTTTTTTTTTAGAAAAAAATGTACTTATTGGTATTGTACCTCAGCGAAATGCTTGTTTTCATCTTTATTAGAATCTTACTACTACATTTTTTGCAGAGGGCCAAGATTAAGATCATTAGGGATTAAACTAGCCTGTTGAGCCCTGATTTTAATAGAACATGTGCTCTTTTGACCCTAGATCTTCTTGTATAAACTTTTCCACTTAGAACTGTCATCTGCTTTTACTTCTTTCTTCATACTAAGATAGACAGGATATTACAGAAAAGCACAAGGTGGGCAAAGTCTATGAACCTGCTCACTCTGCTGTTGAAAGTATGTGTCTTACTGCTCAGTGAACCTGTGACTTTTGCCCTGTCATGTTTTATACTTCACTATTTCACCAATCCTGGCATTCTTTCTTATTTAAGCAATAAAATGTGGTCTCAGCTCATGACTAGAACAACAGGGAAGGAATTAAAACAATAATATACTCCAGATGCATTTTCCATTCCACAGTACAAAAAAATGTATATCTCAGACTGATCAAATGTTGATACAATCTAGTTTTTGAGTTTGTTCAAACTGTTAGGAAAAGGAATATGTTCTCTGAAGGTAATCAAGAACTTCTTGTCCTTGGCTATTTTAGATCTACTGATGATGGTGGTGCCAGGAAGGATTATTTTAGACACAAGTGAACTAGGCCTGGTTAGATCTGGCCACAGTTATTCATGCCTTGGTAGCACAAAATTCTATTTGAGATTACCCTTGAAAAATAACAAAAAGCTTTAGTTGGCAAGCAGTGAAGTAGCTAATTTGCTACCATGTAGAAAATACCATAATCCCATCATATCCATACTGAAAAATCTCGGTTGATTACCAACCATTATCGCAACTCAATTTAAGGTGTTTAAGACAGAGCCACAAATATAGTAAGACATAGCAATCTGAAACAGGTCATCCATAGGGAGGGGGAAGGGGTTGTCAATAGTGTAAAAACAATGTGCATTGGGCATGGCTCGGCAATCAAACCCCCACCCCTTTTAACATTCTCTGTTATTCTTCCCAAACTGTGCAGCTCATAACCTCTAAAACCTTGACTAATGACCATTCTCTCTGCTTTTAAGCAGAATATGAACATTAAACTCTTAAACTTACATTTTTAAAAAATATTCATTAGCCATAATTGTTATTTAATGTGTTACCTTAATTATTTTTGAGTCATTGGTTTTTATATTGCTGATGACAGTAGCCATCTTGAGTACTCTTTTTCAGATAGTAACTGGAACATTATTTATACTTTATACCATAGTAATTTATAATCATTCTTGCTATTATTATTATTACTATTACTATTACTATTAACCTTAACAGTTCAAGTCCTAACCAAGGACTTAAGAGCTGTTAAGGTAACATCTGAGTATATAGGCAGTTTCAAATAAGATTTTTTTGCAAAGTCAGATTATTATTATTGTTATTGTTATTAGTATGCCAATAATTCTTTAAAAAATAACTTGAATTGTAAGTCGTAAGTATAGAAGATACAGTTCATCCAAGCAATATGAGCAGCACTGATCTGCTTTCTTGTACTCAGGTGAGATTTAAATCAGATTTTTTTTCCTTCAATTTGTACTCTTGTTGTCAGAAGAAACATTTTCCCATACAAAGTTACTGTTGTTAGAATACAGGAAAAGGCAGGTTTGAACACTCTGTACATCCACGGATCTAATGTCTTTCTTATTCCTTGTTGCAACACCATGGGAACTAATATGCATATACATATAAAGGTAAAGGTTTCCCTGTCAGTCGTGTCCAACACTAGGGTATGGTGCTCATCTCCATTACTTGATTGAGGGAACCAGCATTATCCAAAGACAATTTCCGTACTCATGTGGTCAGCATGGTTATATGCCAAAGGTGCATGGAACACTGTACCTTCCCACCAGAGTGGTACCTATTAATCTACTCGCATTTGAATGCTTTCAAACTGCTAGGTGGGCAGAAGCTGGGTGTCAGCTGTCCTCTGCCAGCTGCTGATAAACTCCAAACATAGAGGAGGAAACCCCGTTGTGTAGCACTTGAGTCTTGAACCTGGGCTGACAGATCTCCAACTGACAAGCTCAGTATTTTTAACTAACTGCTGAGCCACCACACCCCCTTGTACATACATGTCAAAAATGAACTTATACTTTTAGGAACACTGAAATGGATCAATCATACTTACCTTTATTTTCTTCTTTTACTTTATTGCAATCATTAGATGTTTCCTTATCTCCAAAAAGGCTTTTTAAAACAGCCAATGCAATTGGTAGCATCATAGCAGTAGAGGCTGTATTACTCAGCCACATAGACAAGAAGGAAGTTGTTAGCATCATGCCTAAAATGAGCCTGAAAGAGAGGAGAGGAGAGGAGAGGAGAGGAGAGGAGAGGAGAGGAGAGGAGAGGAGAGGAGAGGAGAGGAGAGGAGAGGAGAAAAAAATCTTATATTTTTTTTTCATTTCAGTTAAGAAAATTCCATGGTGACATCATTCAAGATTAATCAGTACAGTACAATATCACCTACCAGCATATACCAATTTGGTGCCTTATTGTCAGGCTTACCAGTTAGCCAGACCCAGAAAAAGATGCCAAGTAAGCCTAAAACTACTTTTATTAAGAATGGCTATAGTAATAGTCTTGCAAGTCTGAATGTGCTCCTGCTCCTACCTTTTTTATGTTCATGTGAATTCACATGAAGGGTTGTCTGTCTAAGGCATTTTCAAATCTTTCCTGCCACATTTGGACTTCCACAATGTTTATCTGCTTTTTGGCTTCATTCACTCTATCAAGATCGTCTTCTTTATTCTCTACACTTCCATATATGTTGGACTATAACTGGCCATCTCTGTTCTGACTGTGGATAAGGGACTAATAGGAACAGGATTTAAAACTAGCCACAAGGATTAAAAACCCACCAAATGTCAATATTCGCCAATCCTGGCGGATCTCAAAAAACTTGAGCTGGGACAGACCCAATTTGTATTTGGATAAAAGACACCAGAAAATCACAGGATAGTTGAATAGGTGGAAAAATTCCAAAAATTCATAGGTGAAAATCAGCATCTTCAGTTGCACCTGGAAACCCACTGGGAGCCTGTGCAGTTTGTGCAGAAGTATGTTATCTGAAAGTAACTTAGTGCATCCATAACTATTCACACCACTACATTCTGGACCTGTTGCAGCTTTTGATAAGTCTTCAAGTAAAACTCCATGTAGATTGTATTGCAGTAATCTGAATGGGAAGTGACCAAGGCATGATAAGTAAGGCTTCCCAATTCAGGAACAGCTATAAGTGGTGCACAAAATGGATTTGTGTCCTCTTTTTTGTCAAGTTAAAGCTGAGAATCTAGGAGGTCTCCCAAACTGTACACTCTTTGTGATACTTTTTGTGAGAATGCTATCCCAACCACAACAAATGATGGAAAATCCCTGGTTTAGTGAGCCCTAAGATTCCTAGCCATTCAATCTTGCTAGAGCTAAGTCAAAACCTCTTCTTCCCTATCCAGTTCCTCACACTCTCTGAACTTGATGTCATCACTTGCTTGGTCTGGTGCAGAGGTAGTATATGTAATTGAGTGTCATCAGAATATTGATGATGATTAACCCTATTCCAACTGATGGCATCATCCCATACAGGTGTTTAACAAGAATGGGAAGAGAGCAGAGTCCTGAGGAAATCTGCTAAGCAGGGGCTTAACACTATATGGAACCCCCACCAACACTGACAGGAATCTGCCCCAGAGGAAAGAGAAGAACCACTGCAACCACTGTGCCCTCCATACTAATCCTTCCAAAGTAATCCAGAAAGATACCTTATCCAATGTTACCAAAGACCATCAAGAGATCCTTAAAGGCCAGCACCACTATCACTCCAGTATTTGCACTTCAGACTGAACTTTTGAACCCCAGGTAAACATCGAGGAGATTTTATTAAAAGAAAACAGTATCCTAGTCATTTAACTCCAAGTGCTTCTTTTCCTGCATGCCTACTGCAACAGATTGTACAAAGTAAAGAAGAGATGGACAATATATGGAATCGGACTTGCCAGCTGTTGGTGAATTCCAATCCTCATGAGCTCTAATTAGTGTGGCCAGTATTGAGAGAGGATAGGAATTGCAGTCCAACTGCATCTTTGAATATCACATATTGCCAACCCCTGCAATAGCTTTATGGCAACCTAAGCCATACATCTGTTTTAATTTAGCCAGTGTCAAGCATGCCCTGCACTTCAATTTCATATAAAAAGAGAAGTGGCATAAATGTTGCAGGGAAAACATTTGTATTCCTGACATGTTTTGAATTGTGAAACTTGTTTTCTGGCATCATTTCTCATTCATGCCTTGTGCTAAATGGTCACAGAGACAATTTAGCTCTTGATTGGGACCCCTGGCTACAGAGTTATCACTGTGACTTAATCTTTGACATTTATGTTAAGCAATATGTGATTTTCATCATTTCCCTTCCCCCACATGAGAAACACATTAAAAATAAAACGTTATATCTTCATTCTAATTCATGCTTCTAAATCACTTGGATTCCATCATTTCAAAGGGAGATTTATATATTTATTCAAGTCTACACATGGAGTTTAATGAGGCTCATCCCAAAATCAGTTGAAAATTTAGTTTAGCCATTTTATTTTATTATTTTTTCTGTAGTTGCCCATCTCAATGAGTGACTTTGAGTGGTATACATCATAAGTCATAATATCAATTAAAACTAGTTAAATTGTACAAAATAAATACATATGGCACCAAATAAACTGTTCTTACAGGTATTAATACAACCAGGAAATGGGGCCCTTAACACACTCGGGTTGGGTCAAGGACTGGGCACACAACCAAGACTTCACAACCTTGCAAAAAGCCAACAGGGTCAGGGTCATCCTGATATCTGAAAGGAGAATATTCCAGAGACAGAGGTCAGTTGAATGGTATAATTTTAGGGATGTTTACTTAGAAGTTCTTTCCACCAGGAAACTCCAAAGCAAGTGTAAGTGGGGTGCAATCATAGCTACTTCTAAATGAAATCACAAAGAGGTAAATCTGAGTCTCATAATGTAAGGGAATATCCGGATTGTCTTGGGAAAGAAGGGAAGAGATGCTGCCAAAGAAACAATCAGATAAGAAAGGCAGGAGTTCCCAATGACTTAGCCATCAGAGAAAGCTTAGGAAGGACCCACCCTATGGATCAAACAGTTAAAAGTGGTAGTGAGGATTTTGTACTTTCAGACTTGCAAGACTGATGCCAGCCCTCCCAGGTAAACCGGACGGGGACACAATTAGATGAATTAATTCTATTTTATTGTAAGGCTACATTATCATAGTCTTCCAAGTGGTTGTGTTTATTTTTATTGTATTTTCCTATGTAGGTAGCCACCTAGAATGGTTAGGACAAGACAGGCAGCATACAAATCAAATAAAAATCTATACCATATCATACCATATCATACCATACCATACCATACCATACCATACCAGTTTATTTGCAAATGCTATAGAAATCTTTTTAAACAAAACTACAGGAGCCATGGTGGGACAGTGGTTAGAATACAGTATTGCAGGCTAACTCTGCCCACAGCCTGGAGTTTGACCCTAATCAGCTCAAGATTAATTCAGCCTTCCATTTTTCCAAGGTCAGTATAATGAAGATCCAGGTTGTTGGAGGCAACATGCTGACTTTGTAAACCACTCAGAGAGTGTTGTAAAGCACTATGAAGCAGTATATAGGACTAAATGTTATTGCTATTTATCATCCAAATTCAATAAATAAAAAAGAATCTGACTAACCTGGGTTAAAGGTCAGGCAAGGTTACTGCATAATTATACACAACCTATACCACAGCATTGTGGTTGGGGGGAGGAAGGCAATGCAAACAGAGAGCACCTTATGCCATCTTTTGTTCTTGGAGAAAAGATAGGAAATAAATATAACAAATAATATGTAACTGGGAGCCACACATTTCTGCCTTATAATAAATAGATCACTGTGACAAGTGCAGTGTTAGTTTATCCCTTCTTTTCTTATTTTGGACACAACTAAACTCTAGTTTTAGTTGCTCCTGTAATTACTTACCTGGCTGGTTGGACTCCCACTAACATAAGGATTCTTAATGCAATTCTACGATGCAGATTCCACTCTTCAATGGCAGCTGCCATAGTCAAGCCACTCAAAAAGAGGAAGTTGGTGTCTAAAAAGTATTGGGGACAAACTTTGTTTGCTGGGAGAATTCCAAGGAAAGGAAAAAGAATTACAGGGAGAAGAGCAGTCACTGATAGAGGCAGAGCTTCGGTGCACCAATATATCGCCATCACCAAAATGACATAGAGACATTTTCCTTCCTGCAATGAAAAAAAAGGGATTATAAAGGATTTCTACACCACTTGGAAAGTTGCAAAGTCTTTTGTCATTCATATTTTATTCTCATTGATTACAATAGCAATGCTACAAATTAGGTTTCTGTTAGCCTTGCAAAGGAGCGCAGACAATCACAGTCAGGAGTACTAACTCTTAACCTTTATTGATAGATTGGTTAACGAAAGGTAAGTAGCTGCCCATTTCATCAAAGTGACTCAGAGTGGCACAGAACAAACAGCTAAAACTACATATAAAAAACTCAGGTATAAAAAAAATATAAAAATCCCATTAGCAGTATAATATAACCAATATATTGGTTATATTAAACAGAATCATGCAAGTCTAATGGTACCCCACTCTCCTTAAAAATTATGGAGGGTGCCTTCTGCCATGTTTTCATCACCCCTCCTCTTTCAGATTTAATTTCATTGATTGGACCATTGTCTACACCGTAGCTCTTCCCTCTTGTCATCAACACTTGCCATCAGTGAGTGTTAGTAGCTGCCTTCAAGGAAGCATATCCGTGGTGATGCCCAAGCCAGGCATCTTGGGCTTTCCTTGGGGGAAAGGGGGGGCTGAAAGTTTGCACCCAGATGAACCCTAGACAGAAACAAAGATTAAGTATTTCTGTAGCTCTTTAAATCCATCTAGTAGTTACCCTAATCAGCACCCACTGAGGTTCTCTACCACCTGCAGCCTGCTTTCCTTGCCCCTACCCATCATGCCAGCCTAGGCAAATGCTGACATTCTCTAGGGGTGTATGGCAGCTCTGCAGCTCAGCAGAACCAGGTACAATTTTCTTTTGAAGACTAAAGGCTCAGAAAAGGGTCAGTCTGTCCATGAAGCTCAAGGTGGCTTCCACCCTATCTTGTGTATTCCTATGCCACTGCATACCTTCATACTTATTATAATAGTGATCTATTATATTAAAGTTTGACTATGAACAAGAAGTATCTGAATTATGCAAAAGGTGCTTCATAAGTATGGTTTATTATAAATAAATCATTTATGCTCTACATAAATCTACTCAGTAGATTTCTTTTTTAAAAAATGGATTTAAAGATGCAAGTAGAATTTTAGGTTAAAGATATACATCAGATGGATTAATTCCATTAATGTAGAGCAGTGTTTCTCAACCTTGACAATTTTAAGGCATGTGGACTTCAACTCCCAGAATTCCACAGCCAGCATTGCTGGCTGTGGAATTCTGGGAGTTGAAGTCCACATGCCTTAAAATTGTCAAGGTTGAGAAACACTGATGTAGAGGGATCAGATAAGAAAATAAAATAGTCATTCAGGTGAAAAAAATCCGAGTATGAAAAGAGCCAAGGAAAGAAGACCATTATCATTAGCTTATCGTTCAATATTTCAGAAGTGCTGGGCATATACTGAAATAGAAACTACACAAGCTGAACTAAGAAATCTACTTAATCACCCACTTAAATGCAGCATGGAGAATCTGAATTGGCAACAAGAGTTGGCAACAAGACTTACTAGACAGAAACTTTATTTCTGTCATTGACCAATAAAAGTGCTAGTAAATAACATCACCTACATTTCCACAAGCCATATGAAGTGATTAATCTTTATTCGAATACAGAAGTCACAGCCACAGGATCACCAACTTTAGGCAATGTAATTCTAAAGTTTTGAGAACTGGCTGCAAAGAAATATCATATGTAATTTGAAAAAATGGGAATTTGTAGTCCTGACAAATGGGCTATTTGTGTTGTCCACCTGTTCTTCAGGTTTCCAAACAGGTTTTTAAACATATCTATCAAAGTAGTCAAATTTCCCATCTCTCAATTTTAACATAAAACTTTTGGGAACCAAAGTTCCTGCACAAAGCATCCACATGGTGAATTTGGTCAAAGAGCCTCAGTTCCCATGGAAAGAGAAAAAATGTAAATAGCATCTTTCTTGATTCCATCAGCTTTGACATCTGCCTTACTGTGCTCTATGGCAATGACCAATTCGCTTAACACAACCTCTGAATGAGTCCAAATGTTTTTTAAAAAATAATTATTTGATTTGATTAAAGGTCAAATGACTTTTTTGTTACAAACGCAAACTTTCTTAAGAGTCTTGTGACTGAGTTAATTTTCCAACTATGTAATAATTGCCAGCTGAGTAGTGTTTTCCTCAGTTATCCAAGACATATTTTACATAATCTGTTACCACAGAGGAAAAAGAAGAATATTTTTCGTCATTGTTCTCTATTATTTACTTATTTTTGGACTTCCATTCCCATCAGTGCAGACAGAATGCCATTATTAAGAGATTGTGGGAATAATTGCTCAAAATATCTCTTAATGTCTACCTTTGCTATAACTTTGTATTTAAACAACAGCAAAAAATTTTCAATTACCAAGATGACTGAGTTCCATCTCAACAAATGAGAGCTGAGTAAGATCTCCCTATAGAGGGCAATGGTCTACAGAACACTCTAAAACAGACCATGATATTTCTGTGCCTTCTTCCTTCTGTGATGTCCCTCTTCTTCTCTCTCCTCCCACCCATTCACTGTTTTTGTTTTGCCTTTTCCTTTTCTATATAGCATCTTTTTTTCAGAATTACAGTATATAGGTGGCAGAAAAGCTGTGAAAGGAACTTTTTCAATATTAGGACAAATTGTGGGCCTCCTTGGAGAGTCTTGTGCAAGCTCAAGTGCAGGCCTGAACACCAATAATCACAGTGGCCTTTTTGGTGGACTCTACCTCTTCTCAGGGGATATTTAGTATCAGTGTGGTTAGTTTCTAATCTCTCTCCTGCTCAAAAATATGCTATATATACATTAACATATATTAATTATATGAATAATGTATACAAATACATATATTAATTGTAGGAAGATTTCTGGAGCTCACTTGTCCCTGACTCTCTTTTGAAAAGGATGAGAGGTGAAGTCCAACATTAAGGAGTGAGGTCCAGGTATAATATTCTTTTTGTACATACTGCTGTCTATCACAAAATGTGCATGTTGAATTTATGAAACTGGGAACTGCTGCTTCTGAAGATGTTGCTGCTCTTTTCAGTAGCACTGCATAGAATTAATAGGGCCTAGGTGCATGTCAATTTCCCTAAATTGATAGGTATGTAGAACTAATGTTCTTGCTGGTGTCACTTAGAATAAATAGCAAAAGGTTTACTCTGAATTACCTTGTGTTGACTCTTTGTTTAATGGCATTGAAGCTTAGATTTTGGTGCCCATTTTGACCTTGTCTCTCATTGAATGCTCAAGTGTGCTTTTATGGAGACGCTGCCAAAATCTGAATATGGTGCCCTTTTATTGTGGCACAAAGGCTTGTAAAGCTAGCTATACTGTCCTCGTCTCTAATTCATTGATGGGAAGGCATAACTCCACCTCGGATTGGGTCCCATGAGTTGAGAAACTGAGATTCCCAGCCTAATATGCTAGACTCCAAAATGATTTCACCCTTGCAGCATTGTCTCTTTTTTACATTTTTATTAGAGTTTATTATATCATTTTTATAAATGAAAATAAAGATCAGAAAGAAGGGACAAATAGGTGCAAGGTAAAAATGAAAAAAAAAAAAGCAGTGACCTCCAACTATCTTCAGTGTTTTTTCAGAACAGTGTTTCTCAACCTTGGCAATTTTAAGATGTCTGGACTTCAACTCCCAGAATCCCCCAACCAGCATATGAATACTAAATGCAGTTACAATCTCAACCTTTTGTAACATTCTCTCTCAAGGGCATCCTTTTAGCAGTTTGGTTGAATTTAGACACCATTGCTGGCTGGGAGTTGATCACTGTGCTCAGGATTCTTCGGAATTAAACTAAATTAAGGCAGTCTATTCCTGAATATTAATACTTTCAGTGTTGTGATCTTGCATTTAATGATTTCATTGATTTGAAAGGAGACATTTAGATGATTCATAAACCCAGATTATCAGGGCTCTTGAGCCAAAAAGGTATTTGCTAACCAACAAAGATGCAGATTCATGAACCCTTTCAATGACCCATCTGTTCTAGTTTATGTAGGATCTTTTGCATACTATTTATAACTCTTTTTCTGAAGTCTGCATTATGCTACTTGTCTGGAAAGAGAAGAATGTGATGGTCATGTATATATAACAGTATATATAAAATAGATGTCACTTTCCAGCACTTTTGTATTGGATGGTATAATCACCAGGTATTTCAGTTGAATGGTACAAAGAAATTCTCTGAAGATCCAAACACTGATTTTTTTTATTGGTAACCAAGTACATTGATTTTATTGGTATCCAAGCACATGCGGATACAGTATACTTACTACAGATTATATTAAAAGAGAAGAAAGCAATGAAGAAAGGTCATTGGAATTTTATCAAATTCTACTTAAAATATTAGCCAAATTTCCCTAATTTTCTGAGGGAACTTTCACAAATATATCATCTCATCTTCTTCTATCTTAATCTTCCCCTCCCCAAGTCTATACTCACAAACCAAGCAAACCTGACTTAACTTGATAGTAAGGTGACCAACTTTTTTACAATGAAAAGGAGGACACAAATAAATTGAAGAAAAAAATATCGTAAAAACTGGCTCGGCCCATGGAAGGTCAACCGCCTGCCACGCCCCGCCCTAAGCCGCCCCACCAGCACCGCTGCCCTGCCATGTAGAGCGGGCCCCCGTGGCTCCCAAAGCACCAGCCATGCCAGCTCCGGCCCTGGGGGGCAGCCTGCCATCGACACACCCCGCCTGCAGCCACCCCGCCAGCACCACTGCCCACCCTATGCAGCCCCGTGTAGAGAGGGCCCCGCAGTTCCCACAGCACAGTATCTTCAGAACTAACTAGGAGATGGTGTAGTTGGGTAGCAGGCAGGGGTGCTAAGTTCCTGCCAATTCACCTTCGCTGCAGACAACTTGCATGTGCAAAGTTTGCCGGTTGGGTGTTTGGCACGCTCAGCAGCAATTCCTATTGGCTTTCGAAAGCCAATAGGAGAAGTAGCACAGCTCATGCAAAAGTTGAAAAAAA